AAACTTTAGATGAGCTGAAAGTCGTGCAGCACAACATTTACTTGAATATACTCTCTGAAGTCCCTGGGGCAATAAGGTTGGGCAACGAAATACCGCAAGGAAAGTTAAAGCGCAGTTTAGATTCATCACTAATCGTTTTACTCATGAGGCAGAAAATGCAGCTATATCGTGGAAATGAAAAAGCATTTATGTTCATGCTTTTTAATTTGAATGATGGTACAGAAACACTTCCTTAATTTTGAATTTCTGAAAGCTGCACATTTCCCCCCAGAAAGCAGGTTCAGGCTGAAATAACGCGCATTTCTGCTCACAGTGGCTCAGTTTCATCCCTGAAGTCAGACGAAACGTGGTGGATGTACAGGAATGAAAAGCATTCTCTAGTTCTGAGACAAAAATCAAGCAGTCTTTACACACTTTGGTGAACTTGCCCATTTTTCTTTCCCTCGCACTGGTTGTGGAAGGAGTGTCCAACGGGGGTGTGTCCAGGTGGAGGTGATTTAAGCGCGAGGCTGGGGGGTAGAGATCTGACTCACAGGTGTCACAGAAGTTACAGGGACAGAAAAAGTTGCTTCTCCCGCTGTTCAGACACAGAAAAGCTCCCTGAGACACGGACTCACTCCACCATGAGCTGGAAGGCTGTTTTCCTCCTCTTTCTCCGTAAGTCACATATCTTAGCGCTGATGGACATCAATTAAGTGAACTTTGTCATTTCTGTTTGGGAACCTGTTTTTAACCAATAACTACATTGACTCTGGCTCAAATATGACATAAAAAACATAACACTATGTTTAGGATAGAAAGGGTTCTGTGAGTAGATGACGAGGCTGAGTTTTCTATTAATTCGTGATCTCTGAGGATCCCCCGTGATGGTGCCTATACGTAAGGTGATTTTTGAATTGACTTCTCAGACTCCAAAATCGGAACCTGTAGCTGAGCGTGTTCCTATTCCTATTTAATGCTGTACAGATCACTGTACGGATCATATCTGTGAACTTAGTCACTTCAAAGTGTGCGTGCGTGTGTGTAGCTGTTGGAGAAATGAGCAACAGGTACAGCAGCACCGTTGGCCGGAAGTGACGTTTGAAGTCTGCCCTTAGAAAAAAGGACGGGACGGTGTAGATGGGATTTTCTTTAATTTCTTAGCAGTAATAACAACCAGAATCAATGAGATGGTTGGAGTGACACTTTTTGGTAAATAGAGAAAAGTGTAAAAATTCGAAGGGATGTCAAAACTCGTGTTTAACGCCGGGATGCCTTCACATGCGCTTCCGGAAACTACAACATTAAGAGCACGTTTAGTTAGGTTACAGCCTTACAAATTTTCCCTAAAATGACACAGATGGGATGACAAAATGGAGACGGTTTCTTCTAAATGTTGATGGAGACATGGCAGAAATGCTCAGCGGTTCGGATCTTGTAGACACACCCTGCATCGAACATCGAAACCTGTTGGTCAGGTGCTGCGTCTTGGATGTGGCCCGCAATGAGGTCGCGGGAGGAGTGGTCAACGGGCGGGATCACCCTGGATGGTCTGCCAGTCCATCACAGGGCCACACACAAGACATACAAGGACACAAACTCACATTCACTCCTAACATACAGGGTTTTTTTTTTTTGGAAGCAGGAAAACCCAGAGAGAACCCACGCAGACACAGGGAGAACATGCAAACTCCACCCAGAAAGGTGCCGGGTCCCCTAGGAGTCGAACCCAGAACCCTTTTGCTGGGAGGCAACGGTGCACACCACCGTGCCTCCCGTAAACTAATCAAAGAAAACGGACTGAACTGCATAAAGCGTCTTTCTACAACGAGCTTTAAGTTCATGCATCTTATTCACCCATTGACACACACACATGCACTCACACACACACTAATATATTCCATGTATATTCACTAATATATATTCATTTTATGTCAGCATTTACTCTTTCGCAGCTCAACTTAAGGGTGTTCACTTTGGCAGTTTTGGCCTCAGTTCACATCACATCACATCCTTTATTTTTTAGGGTAAGCAAGTGTAGCTCTGATGATGTGGGTACAGCACATCCGCACCCACA